AAAAAAAAAAAAAAAAAAAAAAAAAAAAAAAAAAAAAAAAAAAATGTGGAGATTTTTAAGTACCAAAAATAAGATACGTGGTTTGGGAATTTCATTTTGAAAATGCGAAAATTTATGCACAACACGCAGAGTGTAGCATACCAAAGGTGAAACCAACAAATTATAGAAGTCGATTGCTGTAATCCTTGTATCTAATTATTTTGGGAAAATATAGCTCCAAATATTTTAAAGAAATTTTCAAGGAAAACTGATGGAAAATCAAAGAAAAATTGTGCAAAATTTTATGCATAAAAAATGATAAGGCCCTATTTAGAAAAATAAAGTAGCGAGATAAAGCTGTTTGGTATGTTCACAATTGATATTTAAAATAAGGGCCCTTTACTCCTATGGATTAGCGATGAAAATCATATGAAAATTTAAGCTGCAACCCATCAGAGAAAATGAAGTAATTGCAGAATCAAATCATGGACTAGCTGATCTTCAGAAAGGTCAAGATTTTCTGTAAAATTTTATGTCATGATAAACCCTCCTTCTCACAAGCAGAGTTTCAACCAACTTAGCAGGAAAAAATTCCCCGGCCTAGCCAGATTTTCCCTGACCAAAGTAATCAAAATTCCTAACTTTTTACGATGACAATTTGCAAGCGTACAACTTGCAAAAAACGATTATTTTTTGCATTAATTTCACTGCGAATGGCAGAAACTTGTGAACCATTTTTTTCTTGTAGTAACCATTTGATATTTGTTAAAATTGCAATGGGCCACCAGACGAGGTCTGAATTAGAAGAAAACGTTGTACGTTTTCTTCTCAAAATTTTACATAGAAAACAATTCACACAACCGGAAGTTTGGAAATCAACCCCTGAACAAGACATAAACAAGTCTTCTTAACGGAGATCAAATGGAAGTTAGACCATACAAATTATGTCATTTGTATTTTTGCCATTAAACCAATGTTAATTAAAAATACTCATATCTTGTGTAAGAGTTGATTTGCAGACTTCTCCTTGTGTGATTCGTTTTCTTGTGATATTTTGAAGGAAAAACATGCAGCATTGTGCTTAAATTCATGCCTTGCCTAGAGGCTTATTCCGCAATGAAAATTATTCCTCTTTCCAGTTTTCGGAGTTTAACTCATTGTCCGAATATCAAACCTAGAATAAGACTGAGACGCAGTTTTATCACATTTCAAGATTTTATTAATTGCCAGTCTCTTACATAAAATTCTCTGACTTTTCCCTGATTCCCTCGGCATTATGAAATACCCTGATAGTTCTCCCTGTTTTCTAGACTTGTAGACACCCTACGCAAATGAACGCATAAATTTTCATGAATGATGCCTGATAAAATATAAGAACATGTCCATTCATAGTTCAAACAAAATTACCGATTAGGGCACTTAAAATCAATGGAAAAGTATCACCAAGCTTACCAAGATACTTGATTTTTCCGATGTTCGACTGCTACTCCACGTAGGTTGATAATCTAAAGACCTGAAAAATATTCACGCAAAAAATTACGTTTACAATTCATTGAAACAACTAAAAAAACATGCAAATGTTTTCATAAGTAAGCATCCTTATTTTATAGAGTTATGCATTGATCATATCAAATCATCTCGTTTTCATCCGAGAAGTGGATCTTAAACCTTAGGTTCGGTACCGACCTTTTTTTTTTATGGCGCTGCTGTGTTACTCAAAACAGAAGTAAAAGCAAGATGAAGTTTGAAAAAATGGACTTTGTATTGTCTCAGCAAAAAATTTTATTTAAAAAAGCCTCCGTTTCTTTAATAAATTGCCACCTACCATCGGAAAGACTCACAGAAATCGATTGGACGATTAAAATCGACGAATTTAATTTTCAACTGTGTAAAAAAGGCCTTTTTCATTTCCAAGTTTAGCAAGACAGTAGTAAGCGCTACTTTTTGTGTACTTTTGAGGTTGTGTTTTGGACAATGAACAAACTTTAAAGTTAGGAATTGGCAAAAAAAAAAGACCATTTTACCCAATTAGTACAGCCCTCTGGCAGAATAATGCCCCTTACTGCTGATTCACGTGACACAATATCAATTTTTGCGTACTTTCTGCTTTCTCATAGGTCTCCTTATTTTACGAAAAAAGGCGAATTTTGATTTGAATTTGATTAGACGAATTCAAAGGAAAACTTAATTTTGAAAATTTGCACAAAACTGCTCTCTTCAGTACAGTGGTAGAGCGATATGCGCTTTTAAATTAAACAGGGTGTCCACTTAAACAGGCTGGTCAAAAATAAGTACTTTTACAGTACTTTTTCAGTACATTCTCGAGAAATTCAGTACCTCCTCCAACAGAAAAATTCCGTACTTTTTCAGTACCTCCATTGGACAAAATTAGAAAAATTTCAAATTGCAACAAAAATGACAACAAATTTAAAAAAATTTCGGACCTTTATGCGGAATTTACGCACTTTTTCAGTACTTCCGGACCGCCTTTAAAAAATCAGTACTGTTTCCGGACTTTCAGACACCCTGTTTAACTGTTTTCTTGCAGAGGAACATAAGTCAATTGCTTTCCTTATATAGTACAAATGGACGTCGATGGCTACAGTGAGACACCATGTACCTTCATTGCTCTTTTCAATAAATCCACTCCTATTTAATTTTTTTAGAAGAATAATAAGCCAACTTCATAGCTTGAAATTTATGCAGTATATTCTGCTAATAGAGAAGAAATGTCAAAGAACTTTTCAAGAAACACGGGTTAATTATTTTAATAATTAATAGATTATGACCGGAGGTGTGCGACACCGTAAACTGAGATACATAGTTTCCCACTTGGGCTTTTGACATGTGATCTCTTGTTCACAAAAGTAAATTTTCGTCAAATTGGGTTAAAAATTGAGAAATCAATTTTTAATAAAAAACTCTCTAGTACTTAATAAAAATAGCTGAAAGCAGTTACACTCATTTTCCTGCCTGTAGAGGGCATAAAGTAACATTTCTATCTGACAGTTTTAACCCCCAAACAAGATCCATTTAATCTTTAGATTCCTCCTAAATTTTTGAGCCGCAAACTACAAACCGTCACTATTTCAGCCCAAATATACATTTTAAAATATGCTTTATACCATAATGTTTGAACACTCCTTTAAATAGAGGTGCTGATACCTCAACAGGGCATGTTAATGACGATGCGCAACAATGCGCTAATAAATAAAATCAAAAGGGAACATCTACTTCAAATTAGCGAACATCATGGTTCTTTTTGATACGAATATTTTGTGGCTCTTACTAGTAGCTTTAATAAGATTAATTAGACTTCATTTTGCAGGTAGGAACTACAACTTCAGACTCATTTGTAAAAGCACTTATCTGCATGGAAAAATTAATGGCACATGCATTGTTTCTAAAGTGAGCTAGAAATAGTAGTTTCTAATTGCAAAATGTGGTCTAATTTTGAGTTAGTGAGCACTGAGGTTTCTCCTTCTCCACTTATGTTTTGAAATTTCTGTGATTTTGAGATAAAGCATCCTTGTAAGAGAATGATGAACTAATGAAGACCAATGTTTTCTAAATACTACTAGTGTTCACTTTCCCTCTGGTTGATACACTGCAACTCATGTTGTCTAGGAGTAAATGGAGCAAGCTAAGAATCCTGAGCCAAAGAGTTACTTTTTTGCATTTTACAAGTTTTTTTTTACCTGAGTTTTTCAGTCCTGCTATTTAGGCTACTGGATAGTTGTGAAATTTCACTAAGAGAATTTGCACTGGAGAAACCTGAAAATGAAAATTTATCACATTAGAGTGAAAACTAGTAGAAAGATAAAAAGGTTAAGATAGAATAATAGCTCAATAATTAAATTGTAAATTTTTGAGCCAATTATTGAACGGTATGTCAGGAAATATTTTGACTAACATCAATAACTTTGAAAACCTCTGGGCAGTTTTAAGACTTATCCAATAATACCAAATTTTAAAATTATAGGCAATCTCAACTCACTGTCACAAAAGAAAGAAAAAAAAAGCTGCACCTTAAAAATACTCATTTAATTCATTTGTGACTTGAAAAATACAAAATCGCAAAACCACAAAAAATCATAGAAAAATATTAGGTTCGATCAAGTATGAAAATAGAAAAAAAGATAATTGTTGTACAGGAGAGTGAAACTACCAATCAAAAAAATGTTAGGTTGATCAAACTTTCCGGATGAGTGATGATAGGAAACGCCCTGTCAGAGAATGATTTAATGTACAAAAACACTGATGCCCACGTCATTTACACGACAGTATACTCTGCGTTGAAGAAAAAAGGAAATAAGTCAATTTCAGAGGGGACACACATAAATCAAAAATAACCTTCAAACTCTGTTTTGATTGGGTGGGACGATACTGACCAACTGGACTTCATTTTGCAATAAGAGATCACAATATCTGACTCACTTTAAAGACAAAATATGTGCCTTTAGTTTCCCTGTGCAGAGAGGTGCTCTTATGGATGAGCTAGAATTAAAGGTTTTTTATTACAAAATGAAGTTCAACTGTAAGCCGCCAAAGTTTAACGTTGGTATTTGTTTCCTTATCTACTTGATGAAAAATATTTGGATCATACGAACCACTGGTAGTTGTTGTTGAGGTGACAGCAGGGTCTGCATAACTAGATGTTGGTCTGTGGTCCGAGGATAATGATGATAAGGGTGAGTGTGTCGTATAACTGGAAGAAAATTTATCTTGATACCTAGGCTGGATCCCATCCTCTTTTCTGAAGTTTCCTACGAAAATACAAAGATGAGAGGTTGATAATTGAAAAAGACATTTCATAGTGAGCTAGTTTAGCTTAGAGAGAAAATAATTATTTTTTCATTTATAATTGAAAAGCTGATTTTCACATTATTACTTGACAATATTTTCGCCGTATCTTTCAATTTTATTAAATAATTGTTGGGTTGCAATACAGATGGGTAAGATGAGGACAGAACTCTTTTTTATTAAATGCATTTTTTTTTAAAACCTACTTTCAGGATGCAGGGGCTCATCTTGCATTTAAATCCCTTAATCCATGCTTTACAGTCAGCCTAGGGTGACCGGTGACCTGTGACCCTTGTTTGTGACTATCAAACTCAAGTCGCCTAGCCAAATTTGAACCCGCGACTTCTTGATCATGGGATAAATCGACTGCGTAAGTCCGCAATCACATATCTCATTAGCAGTGTCTGAAAATCTCTGCCTCTATGTTATTCTTTTAGAGGAGAAACAATTGACATCATTCCTTCACGTTTTTGCAAAAATTCCTTTGCACAGAGAAGAAAAATCACGGAAGTTTTAAAGAATTGCCTGGAGTAGTTTTTTGTTGAAAAAATAAAGTATGGCAGGTAGTCTGCGACGTTGCAAACTGAGTTATGTGATTGTCGACTTACACCGTCGAAATGCTTAACCACTACGACTAGAAGAACTAACAAGACTAACTAGTTAAAAAATTATTCTAGATTTTAACACAACAAAGGGACTGATGTGGATCAATAATTTTGAAAACTCAAAGAAAGGAGGAAGTGAAGGTTTAATTCCAACTAACCTGTTGATATCCTCGTTTTGCGCAAACTGGTCACACAATCACTGGCTATTGGACTCGTGACTTCTTCCTCTTCTTCTGGGATGGTATAAACTTCGCCCGGACTGTGATCGTAGACTGGTTCTAAAATTGATGGTTTCGACTCTTTGACCGTGTATGACTGCGATGTTGGTACCGACCCACTTGAATCTTTCAGAGAACTGTCTGACGAGTAGTTTTGGGACCGGTTTTCCAAATAAGAACTCACATCACTGTCAGGTTTGTACTGCTCGGATGATGTTGATGGTAGAGGTTTCATATCATACTCAGATTCATGGTCGTTGATTAAATCAAAATTTTTATCTGATTTAACGGTTGACTGAGAAGTTTTGGAAGAATCCCANGTGACCTGTGACCCTTGTTTGTGACTATCAAACTCAAGTCATCTAGCCAAATTTGAACCCGCGACTTCTTGATCATGGGATAAATCGACTGCGTAAATCCGCAATCACATATCTCATTTGCAGTGTCTGAAAATCTCTGCCTCTATGTTATTCTTTTAGAGGAGAAACAATTGACATCATTCCTTCACGTTTTTGCAAAAATTCCTTTGCACAGGGAAGAAAAATCACGGAAGTTTTAAAGAATTGCCTGGAGTAGTTTTTGGTTGAAAAAATAAAGTATGGCAGGAAGTCTGCGACGTTGCAAACGGAGTTACGTGATTGTCGACTTCCACCGTCGAAATGCTTAACCACTAGGACTAGAAGAACTGACAAGACTAACTAGTTAAAAAATTATTCTAGATTTTAACACAACAAAGGGACTGATGTGGATCAATAATTTTGAAAACTCAAAGAAAGGAGGAAGTGAAGGTTTAATTCCAACTAACCTGTTGATATCCTCGTTTTGCGCAAACTGGTCACACAATCACTGGCTATTGGACTCGTGACTTCTTCCTCTTCTTCTGGGATGGTATAAACTTCGCCCGGACTGTGATCGTAGACTGGTTCTAAAATTGATGGTTTCGACTCTTTGACCGTGTATGACTGCGATGTTGGTACCGACCCACTTGAATCTTTCAGAGAACTGTCTGACGAGTAGTTTTGGGACCGGTTTTCCAAATAAGAACTCACATCATTGTCAGGTTTGTACTGCTCGGATGATGTTGATGGTAGAGGTTTCATATCATACTCAGATTCATGGTCGTTGATTAAATCAAAATTTTTATCTGATTTAACGGTTGACTGAGAAGTTTTGGAAGAATCCCAGGACTGGAAGCAAACAACAACAGCATTAATCATTAGTTTATACCATTTTTAACAAGTTTACTAAAAAATTTCCTGTAAAAGTTATTGGAAAACATTAGGTATCGATATGAAAGTTCCTTCAAAGACGTTCAATCAAGTCTATACACATAGTGTAGGTGATTTTTTCAAGCATTCAAAGCTTATAAAATGAAAGAACAAAGCTCACTAGTTAAAATGAAATAAAATTTAAAACTCACTTGTCAGCGAAAATTACGAAAACCGTCCGACGCGCGTTTCGACCCGTTGGATCATCATCAGGGCGCATCTGGTATGTTCTTCAGATATGCGGCGGTTGCTGGGCCTTTCTTTGTTGTCCTTGTTGCCAGATGTTCCAAACAACTTAAATAATGTGTTGGGTGGTGGCGATGATGAGTGATGATGATCCATCGGGTCAAAACGCGCGTCGGACGGTTTTCGTAATTTTTGCTGACTAATGAGTTTTAAATTTTATTTCATTTTGACTGTTGACCTAGTCTGGTACTTTTTAAATTTTTAAAAAGCTCACTAGCTTCAAAGTGGAAATCCCGATTCTCACACCTTCATGTCGAGGATATTTATATACATTCAATATTGCAGCCTATATAAGCCGTCCACAAATTACAGCCAACTTCACGATAGTTTAAAGTTTTCAGTTAGGAATACAAGTTAAAAAAGGGAGTTTAAGATTTTACTTTGATAGTTTCAGGGTTCAACCCAGGCGAAGACATGGAAATGCTTGCTATCAGCGTGTTAATCATATCAACCACTCTTGATTTGTATTGCTGAGCATTTGAGTGTTCCCCATCTAAAACTTATTACGTAAACTTTCTAGAGATTTCTTGTGAGAAAATTTGGTCTCCAGTCTTCAAAAGTTTGGATTTTTTTCTCAGTATATGGCATATGTAAAAGAAAAAATCTCTTGGACATTTCTCAAAATGTATGGTTCATCAGTTCATTACTGTGAAGTCATTTCCCGTTGTTTTCATAGAATTACAGCGTTTCTGATAATTAGTTAATATTTAATTTTTGTAATACAGAATTAATCTCTACAGGATGATAGCAAAGCAGGTTTCCAATGTGATACAAAAAGAGAAGAATTTGAAAAATGCGTCAGAGTCGCAAACAAGTAGTAATTAAAAATGATCAACCTAACTATTAAAAGCTTCATTTTTGACCTCGATAAATTGCAAGACTGAAAATCGTAGTTTGTCAAACAAAATTTACAGGAATGGAACTGGAACCATGAAAAACTGGAAATATTTTTCGAGTAAGTACCAAGTTTTTTTAGAACAGAAACAACTTCAAATGAGACTAAGGCCCTAAAAAATAAAATAAATACATAAAATAAAAAACCTGGGATGCTTTACGGTGATTTCAACTGCATTTTCAACTGGCAAAAAAAGAAAGAAAATTGAAAATAAACACAACCTGAGCCTCACCGCTGTTATTGTGAGACTTAAGTCTCTTAGAGAGAAAAGAACGAGACCTGGGAGTCAATGTTTTTGTTAAGTAAGCTCCGGGATGAGTTTTACACGATAAGACCAAAGACTCACTTTTCCTTAGAAACGTCTATCTACTCCATCAAGAGGGATACCCTTCAATTTAATTCTTCCTGAATGCAACAAGCTCAAGTCTAAAATTGATGTCAGCTCATTCAAACATCAATTTTAAAAATGTAATCGTCCAACGGCAGAAAATTATAGTACCGAATATCTTAAAATTGAGCTCTACTGAAAGAAATGTTTTACGAACATTTTGGAACAAAAACATGGAAAAATACAAACCAAAGTTACGAAGCGTATGAAGTTGGCAGTTCAGCACACATGGTTTTCAGAAATTTATATTTAAACAGTTGATTTGTCATGAATCAAACTTGTTGGATTAAAATGCAGTTCCATGCCCTCTATTGACACAAAAATAAACTACATTGCTTACAATGTATTCATTGGGAATAAGAATTTTGATGTTGTGATCCAACTTGAGAGAAATCGTTCTGTTTGTTTGGAAAAAATGTGTCTTCGTGGAATGACATCCATTTATCTGCGGAAGGTCACCACTGGAGAAATTCACAATAGTGAAGATAGGAGAATTGATAAATTCATTGTTTACAGTACTTTAGTTACTGTAAAATTAAGAATAGTACTGAAAAGTTACTGTAAACTGCTAAATAAGAAATAATTACCATATTGCTCAACCGAGATGAATTAGAGAGGTCTGACGTAAGCTGAGTTTTTAAGGCTGAGGAAGGCTGCGAGTAGAATCCTGACGAAGATAAGGGTGTGAGTTTCATTGACGAATCGTCCTGATATGAAGAGACCCGTGGCGGTTGCTCCGAGAAAGAGTCCGGCTGCTGACTCCACGACGGCTGCGACACCTGCTGCGATGGCTGCGACGAATACGTCGAGGTGAAAGTTTTCGAAGGGTATTGCTGACTGGAAGTCTGGGCACTGTTGCTATCTTGGAGCTGCTCGCTGTACATCTTGGATTGTTGCGTTTGGTTACTTAAGGTAGGCCTATCGAACGGCTTGTCACTCCAGTCTTTGTTGAGGAGCGAAGGCTGAGGCTGCGGTTGGAGAGGCTGGCTGTGGTGCAGTGTCGTTTGGGGATGATGCATCTGCGGCTGCTGCGGCTTTTGACTGTTGAAGTGGTGCGGATCGGCGAGGTTTTGCTGGTAGTCTCTGGATCGACGGAGCTCATCGTTTGAATCGTGATAGAGAGGCGCTTGTTGGTGAACACGTTGCGGCTCGTGTTGGTATTGCTGCTGCAGAGGTTCCGGCCGTACGGAGGGCATGCCTGGAGTGAACATCCTGCAATCAAATTTCCATACTTATCAAGCTCTGAGCAATTTTTAGAGAATTTCAGGTTCCTTATCCTAGATTCTAATTGGAAATTAACGTTATTGTTCGGAAGATAACAGAATTATTTCTCATTGTCTCCATAGATGGGTTCAAGCAAACGGGACATGCAGACCTACAGAGGGTTTCGAAAAAAAGACCCATTTTCAACAGTTTAGAACTGCTAGCACATCGATGGCTCAAGTGGAAAACCTCGTATCTTCATTGCAGTGTTTCAAAATCTCTACTCCTATTTTATTTTTCCAAAGAGAGACAAGCCAACTTTATAGCTTGAAATTCATGGAAGAAAAATCGAGGAAATGTTCAAGAAATTACATCTACTCATTTTCTAAAGAAATAGTAAAATATGACCAGAAGTCAAAAACGGATATACTCTCTTTCACACTGTAGCCATCAATACACGATCGACTCAGGCAAAAAGGCTCTTTGGATAAAAATTAAAAAATGCAAGTTTATCCCCTTTCATAGAACGCTGCTTAATTTCTCTTTGCTTTAGACTTGACTTTGCAACCATGAGATACAAGATTTTAGTAATATTGCAAGTCAATGGACTGAACAAGTTAGTGAGTAAATTATAAACACTTTAAAAATTATAAAATATACTAAGAAAAAATATGAAATATTCAAGGAGAATTAGTCACTAAACCATGAAAAATTTTGACGCGAAAAGCGGGCTCGTCCAGGATTTTGGCTCAAATAATATGCCATAAATCACCACGTAATCTACTCACCTAGTACTTTCAGACTATAAAAAACACAAGATTTAGTGACCCATTGTTACAAATCTTTTCTGATAAATAGAGAGAAACCAAGCCATATCAGCTACTGCCAAATTTAAGTGAACAATTGAATTGTTAATAAGAGAACGTTTGTGCAGATTCCTTTGAAAATTTTACGGAATTTACTTCGTACTAAGTATGCAGGCAATTCATTGAAATTTGAACGAAAATCTGCACAACCGTTTTCATGTAAAACATAAAATTGCCCGACTTTTGGCAATAGTTGATGTGCCTCAGTTCTTTTCTGCTTAACACGGTCCAATTCAACTCAAATTTGGAGTCAAATTTTGCAGAATTACCCATTATTTAGAGCGGGAAGAGAGAGAAAAACTGACCTCGGGTTGGAGCTCATCATGGGTGGTTGAGAGGGCATCATTGATGGCGGGGGTGGATTTCCACCCTCTACTTCTTTCGCTTTGGCCATAACATTCTGAATAAGTGCTCTCTCTTCTTCGCTTAGGTGGCTAAGATCTGGTTCATCCGGGGCTGAAAGGAAACAAGTTGGTCAGTCACTTGCGGGGAAAATATGTCACAAAATACCATCAATATACGTTAATAATCCGAGCTAAAGTGTACAAAATTGTTCGAATTATTTACGTCCTACCTTAGAAAGTGGTAGCGAAAATAAAACCAAGTAAATAGACGAAAATCTCAATGCGAAAATCTTACAGCTTTTAAATACAGAACTTCTAATACGTAAATACCTTAGGGTGATTCAGAAAACAATTTTCGGTCTCAGATATTGGCTCCCAGTAGCAATTCTGGAGCATAAAAAACAATTGGACTGCATTTTGCAATTTGGAACTATAAATTCTGGCTCTTCTGGAAAAACACTTATGTGCATCGGGAAACTAATGGCACGTGCGTTGATTTAAAATTGGGCTGGAATTTATAGTTCCAAATTGCAAAATGTGGTCCAATTAGAGGATAAAAAACAATTCTGGAGACAAAAATAAAGCTGAGAAATATTTACGGTCGATCCGTGGATTTTTGGAGAGTGCGTGCCTCCCTTTCTAAGACGAAAATCGGGATTTTTCGTAATTTCACGTTCGGAAAATTTTGGCACACTTTAAATGGTTGGAACACCGCCGGCTCTTGGCGGGTTACAATTTTTCATGAAAAATAAAATCTCGAAATTTTATGTGAAATATTTCATGAAATTTCAGAAAAATATGAAAAAATAATTTTCGAAATTAAATGCAAAATTAAATGAGAGGCTTTAGTTTTTTTTTTTTTTTTTTTTTTTTTTTTTTTTTTTTGAAAAAAAAAGTGTGTTGCACACCCAGCCTCTGGGAATATGTTTCATATTTTTCACAACTTCGTGAAGTTTCATGAAATGATTCACGGACATTTTCAATATTTCATATTTTTCATTTCACCGTGCAACCCTGACTCTCGGTAGAGAATCTGAAGAGACAGAATAGAACCAAAATAGAGCTGCGCAAAATTTGGGCACAATCGGATTATTTTTACGGTTTATTTTTTTAAATATTTGAATCGAGAAGCTCAAATACCGCAATCTAGATCCACGGGGTTGGAAACATGTTAGTCGATGGTGTGAATTTTCAAAAATTCGAATTTCTCGCTCGAATTGCGACAAAAATGACACAAAATTCCGGACCTTCTCGCGAAATTCCGCACTTTTTTTGTACTTTCGGACCGCCCTTAAAAAATCAGCACTATATCCGGACTTTCCGGAAATTCCGGACTTGCAGACACCATGACGACGGTCGAAAATGATCGGTCGTTTAGTTCATTCGAATCGATGCCTGCTGAACGGGTGCAAGTCAAAAACATATCGACGGTAGGTATAAGTTGGCAATCAACTCGTTTGCGGTGTCTGAACATCTCCGCCTCTGTAATTTATTTAAAGGAGAACAAATTGACATCATTCCTTGAAGTTTTTGCAGACTTTTCTTCGAACAGAGAAGAAAAATCACGGCAGTTTTAAAGAATTTTCGTTTAAAAAATAAAGTATGACAGGAAGTCTGCGACGTCGCAATCCGAGATAAGTGATTGCCGACCTACACCGTCGATAGTGCCCTGCGTGATCAACGAAAGCCAGGGCTCATGAGTTTTTGAACTTGCGCCCTTTCAGCAAGCATCGATTCATTTGTGTATTCATTACTAGCTTCATCTTCTGCCCCTGCGACGAAATACACCCCAGCCCAGAGGAACACGTTTTTCACCAAACCGACCCTTCGAATATTCCCCTGGTGATCAGGCGGTGAGCACGCCTGACTCTAGGCCAAAGGGTCCGGGTTCGAATCCCGGTCGTGGCGGCAAATTTTCTAGGAACCTGGAGGGCCCGGAAAAACTCGCCTTCCGCCGCTACTCAAAACAAATCAGTGGCGTGGCGTAAATTGCGATATATCGATCGTTATGCCATTTAAACCTATGGTAAAGAATCGATTATTAAGGTGTTCGCTGCGAACACCATGTTTATCGATCCTTTTCCATAGGTTTAAATGGCATAACGATCGATACATCGCAATTCACGCCACGCCACTGAAACAAATCGAGTAAAAATAGGCTCGGGCAGTGGCCTAGAAGCGACCAAAATGAGACCGTACATCAGATACAGGGTTATTCAAAAGTCACGCACCACTGGGCATGAGGAGGTTGGCCATTTGAAATTTTTGAGTTGCCCCCCGCACCCCTCCCTCCCCCCGAGGGAATCAAAAATTGGAAAGTACCTAAAAAATTTTCCTCACAATACGAGGAGAAACGTCTTAAACCACAAGTCAATATCATAATTAGGACTAAAGTTATGGCCAGTGGTGCGTGACTTTTGAATGACCCTGTATACGAATCCGTTTCAGAGCCGTCGAGTGCTTGCTGAAACAATTTTACTCGATCTGAATCCTCGGAAATTTGAAAGCCTGAAGCATACGAGTAGATACGGAAAACATTTTCCTCGATACTCCGTAACCGGATAATTCTCCTAATGAACCACAGAAAATTGAAGGGCTGAAATTTCCTAATCAGGGTTGTCTAATTGTTTTTTTCATTTTGGGAAATCCTGATGAAATCCTGATTTTTGACTGCTAGATTCTGATCATAATTTTCCAAATCCTGATAAAATCCTGATTTTTTGCGAGGAAAAATCAAAATTTCTGCATGAGCATGCGAGAGCATAAAAAAATCCGATCGGACAGGCGACTTTTCTCAAATCCTGATTTCACGACCGATTTTTCCTCAGATCCTGATAAAATCGGGAATAAATCCTCATTGACCTCAAATCCTGATAGAATTGGGAAAATAGGGAAAATCCTGATGCTAGACACCCTGCTAATTCTGGATAACAACCTCGCATTATCCGAGGAAAACCTGAAGAAAACCTGAGAACCTGCAACTCCTGCTAGGAAACCTGAAGACGTCTCTGGCTGACTTTTTGGAGGAGCGAAATAGTTGGGAAATCTGTTTTTTTGGTTTCTTTGGAAAACTGGTCAACGTAATACATTGAAAACCTCCTTAATTTTTCTTCCCTGGGAGCAGAATATTCTTCATTATTTACAAGCCATGGAAATGGCTTGTTCCTCGGTAAAAAAAATATTCGGAGCGGCAATTTTGAAACATCACAATGGAGATACGTGGGTTACGCACTCAGGCCATCGATTTTTGAGGAAAGTTATTGTACTTCTCCTTGTAATTTTCAGGTACTTTACTCGGGATACTTTACAGGGATGCTTTATGTCGGGCAAATAGTGCAAATATCAATGGCTACAGGGTTGCCACAGAATTTAGAAAGTAGAATGTCCTGACATTTCCCCAATTTCCCTGACACATTTTGGCGACATTCCCTGACAGTTGAAGATGTGACGGATGGTCAAGAGGGCATGATTGAAAATAGTTTTAGGCAAAATTTGTTGTTCGAAACCTCAAACCCATTCTAGAAAGCAAATAAAGGTGATTTAACAAATGTTCCCTGCCACTTTCGTCATTTTCCCGGTTTTCCCTGACTGTGACAACCCTGCCCATGTTCTCTTTGTAAAGCTGGTCGACTTGATGTCTTGAAAACCTCTTTCATTTTTTTTTCTCTCTATCAGCAGTATGTTCCGTAGAAATTTCAAGCTACTAACTTGACTTGTTCCTTTTCGAAAAAATAAAATAGGATCAGAGATTTTGAAGCACTGTAATGAATACACGCGGTTTTCCACTTTGGGATCACTGCCGTGCTAAGGAAGAACGCCGTATGAACATTGGAGGGTTGCCGAATTTCTCCATATAAAACAAGTATTTTATAGGAAAGTTATTCATATTTCATCTTGAAATTTTCAGATGTTTTAGATCAAATTGCGAACAAAATTTTCTGAACATTTTGTGAAAAAATGTTGGCAATGTTCTAAGCAAATTCGATTTCATTGAAGTAAATCTTGCAACGTCTAAAGGCTCATACGGCGTTTTTCCTTAGCGTGGCAGATCACTGATCGATGAAACCGAGGTGGATGAAACCATGAAATGCACCCGTGGCGAAGCGTACTTTGCGATACATCGATTGATCTGCCATTTCAACCTATGGAAAAGAATCGATATACAGGGTGTTTGCAGCGAACACCTATACAATCGATTCTTTACCATAGCTTTAAATGGAGGAATATGAAAGTCGATAATCGATCATTTACGCCTCGCCACTGGAATGCACAACCGCGCGCGGCGAACAACATCATACGCGGTGTTTTTTAATGAGCGATATCTCTGTTAAGGTGATTCGATGGACGCCATATTTTGTGTCAGAACGGCATGCGATATATCGCATCCATTGGTTCCATTTTTTCAGCTACTCGTCATTTTTCTCGAATTTTGAGATCGCAATTCTGTTGTCAGGAGACTTAAGCACTTATTTACCAATTTTAACAAAGAAATTCAACGTAATAAAGGCGTGGTTTTTTTAGAGAGAAAATATAGCATTCGAGTGCAGTTTCGATATCAGTATCAAATGTGATGTTTTCTCTCTGAAAAAACCACGCCTTTATTACGTTGAATTTCTTTGTTAAAATTGGTGAGTAAGTGCTTAAGTCTCCTGACAACAGAATTGCGATCTCAAAATTGGAGAAAAATGACGAGTAGCCGAAAAAATGGAACCAATTGATGAGATATATCACATGCCGTTCTGACACAAAGTATGGCGTCCATCGAATCACCTTAATATTGGACGCGAAAACTGGGCATTAGGACTGATCTTTTATTATTTTCCTAATATAAATAAGGCTTAAAGCATGAAAACACGATTCTTTGACCGGCGCAACTGACCCATTTCCTGTTTTACTGATCTGTAGACTACCATGCTAAGGAAAAACGCCGTATGAGCCTTCCGACGTTGCCAAGTTTCCTCCGATAAAAACCGGATTTACTGGGAAAATTCTGAAAATTATTTTCCGAAACTTTCAGACAATTTTGTACGCGGTTTAATCTAAACTATCTGAAAATTTCGAGGAAAAATATGCATGAATGTTGTCGAAAATACATGTTTTATCGATGGAAAT